GTCCCTGGTCAAAGTGGCATCTTTGAGCCTCAGGTGCTCTCCAAGAGGTACCACCACTCCCTCCCCACAAATCCTTGCCAGGAGCTGGCACAGCCTGGTATCAACTCAGAACTGACCCTGCACAGGCACCTGGTGCCACGACAGCAGCTTTAGGGACAGGGTGAAGTACAAGGACAGTCACTAGACTTCAGAGCTCAGCTGAAATCTATCTTTCCTGTGAAAACTTTGCCCAAGAGTTTGGAGCCGCCTGGGCGCGGCAGAGGGAGATCTCCTTCCAGCCGGGCTGGGTGCCAGCAGAAACCCAGGGCTGTGCAAGGAGCTGGGGGCTGCGCTCACACATACACCAGGGCAGAGCAGTGGGCCAGGGGAAGGGTGGGTGGTTGGGTCATCATAGCCAGGACACCTACGTGACGTCCCTTCGTATTGTCTTGATGAATATGAGGAAGAAGTCCCATCCGCCGGATCCCAGATAGAAGATGAAGAGAGCAGGGATGGCCTGGGCCCAGGATAGCTCCAGACTGACCCTGAAGAACAGCAGCAGTGCTGCAAAAGCAGCCAGACGCAGCATCGTGGCCTGCGGAGAGAGAGAAACCATGGGCATCAACCTGTGCACACTGGACTTGGTGATGAGGGATGTGTTAGCAGCCCCCAGTTTCCTGGATGAGGTCCCTGAGTCATCACTCCTCCTGGCAGTGAGGATGTAACTCAGCAGCCCAGAGCTCCCATAGATGTAACTTTACCGGACCTGGGAGATAGCCTCTGATTAAGCTGCCAGCATGGCACTCCTTAGTGCCAGCCGAGCGCCCGGCCATTCCCCCCTGGGGAGCCACGTCCTGCACAGCAGCCAGGGGCATGGCCACATCCCAGCAATGTGAGATGCAGCATAAAATCACTTCATGAACATGGGAGCGGCCTTGTACAGATGTTTGGCAGCACCAGGGCGCTGCCAGTCAGGGCTGGCTCAGGACAGCCAGCATGGCTGGTGGAAGAGCGCAGCTTCACACGCTCCCCGACACAGCCCAGACAGGAACAGGGACAGGAAACTCAGTCCTTTGAACTCTGCTCGTGTTTGCAAACCCTTGCGTCGGCAGGCAGCTTCCTGGCCTGGCTCTGCTGGAGACACTGCCAGAGCGGGTCAGGGACGAGGCCAGGCACAGGGCATGCCCTGGCCAGGCTGGAGTGGGCACAACAAGGGCTGTTGCTGCTGCCAGGAGTGCCCAGACCCCCACCCCATGCCCTGTGGACAGTAACTTAGTCTCTGGTACTTGTCCCGAAAAACAGCACCTCTGTCCCCATCCCAAACACACCCCAGATGTGGCTCTGAGACTTGTAGGATACCACGATCTAGCAAAGGCTCTTTTCAGGAGACAGCATCGGGCAGAGGAAAGTGACAGTGAGACGACCCTCACAGCTTGAGGGCTCCTAAATAAAACTGGTCCTTCCTGGCATGGACACAGGCCAAAGAGGAAGGAAACACTCATGTCATTTCCCTTTCCCTCTTGAAGGTGGATTCACTGCTCCAAAGCTAGCAGCCCTGAGTGGGCTCTGCCACAGCCACTGAGGATGGGAGCTATGCTTGTGGCTTTCCCTCTGCTGCATGCAGTTCCCCCAGGTCTGGGGAGCCTCTGTGGATTTGGTACGAGATGCAAGGTGAGACCCAAGGCAGTGTCACATGGTCACCATGCCCTGGCACGTCACACAGGCTACCTCAACTCCGAGCCGTGCCACTGGCAGCAGGTAGGGATGCACCGGAGCACAAATGCCACTTGTGAATGGGGGTCTGGGGACATCCTCTTGCCTGCAGCCCCTGCCCAGACATCCCCCCTCATGCCAGTGGCCTCTCAGCTCTCTTCACTAAACACCTGCCAGGCCTGAGGTACCAAAACACAGTCCCTCAGCCTTTTAGCAGGGCAGGAGCCACTGCACTTCTGCCTAGGAGCCTCTTAAACAGGGCAACTCTTAGATCACCATCAAACTACTATGCCTTGGCCAGGGCCCTTTGTTACATGCTCACATCAAACTAAGGAGACATGGAGAGCTGCTGGTGGTGAAGCCACACTCTGTGTGGGCAGCAAGGTGCTTAATCTCCCACTTGAATGCAAGACAGGCCCAGACCGGCCCCTGTTATCCTCTGCTCACATCTCTCTCTGCCTCACACCAGCATGCCCAGTGCCTCCTGCCAGAAGATAACCGGTGCGTTACTGAGAGATAACCGGTAAGAGATTACAGAGAGATAACCGGTGCATTACTGCCAGAGACCTCCAGCCCTGCCGTTAAGGATTCAGGTCTTGTCTAGCTGCATCAGCACAGAGAAAATTAAGACCTGCCTGTAGCTCCACAGCCAGCGGGCACAAAGGCAAACAAACCACAGGGATCCATCACCCAGGGGCACAGAGACAGCTGGGGACAGGGACCAGCCTGGGGACAACAGGCGGGTGACCAGGCTCCAAGAAGCCCCAGAGCTAATGGTTAAGTTCCAGGGGCCAGGAGATCCCCAGAGTCGTTTCTCCAGCATGAGCGGCTTGGAAGGCACCTGTCCCCCAACTTGGCCCTGGGCAGGGTGACAGGGTCCCCCTGTTTCACCCTCCTCATCCTTCCCTGGGGCCGGTGGGCTCATCCCCCGCAGAGGGGGCAAGGAGCCCAGCCCAGCCCCATCTGAGGGGGCAGAAGGACCAGGAGGCCCATCAGGGCTTCACACCAGGGCTGCAGCCGGGGCCCTCCTCTCCCAACCCCGGGCCAGGCCCCGGAAAAACCCGGGGAGAGCCGGTATCCGCGCGGGGAGCCCCGAAGCCCGCTGAGAAGAAGGGCCGCGGCGCCTCATGAGGAGATCGGGGGGCGGGCTGAGGGTCCCCGCCACTGCCCGCAGGGCCCCAGCGCCTCATAAGGAGACCGGGGCGGTGGAGCTGAGGGACCCCGGTGCCGCCCAATGGGCCGCGGCGCCTCATGAAGGAAACCGCGGGCCGCGGCGGCGCCGCCCGCGGGGAGGCGGCGTGGCGGCGGAGCACAGCGGCGACGGGAGATCACGGAGGAGGGGCGGGAGGGGGGGGGGGGGGGGAAGAAACCGGTGCCGCGCTCTTGCCGCGCTCTTACCGGGCTCCGGGGCGTCCGCTGCGGCCCGGCCACCTGCAACCGGGAGCGGGGCCCGCCCGCCGCTGCGGCACGGAGCGGAGCGGGGCGGGGCGCGGGGCAGCGCGGCCCGCCGGGAGCTGTAGTCCCGCCCGGCGCCACCGGCCCGGCCCGGCCCCGCGGCGGGTGCGGTCCCGAGCGGCGGCGGGGCGGCGCGGCGGGAAGAGGCGGTGAGGACGGCGGGGCAGAGCGAGGGCTCTGTGGCGCAATGGATAGCGCATTGGACTTCTAGCTGCGTGGTGACGGGAGTCATTCAAAGGTTGTGGGTTCGAGTCCCACCAGAGTCGCATTTTGCCACCGGGGCGGCGGCGAGCGCTCCCGGGGGGTTCCGCCGCAAACGGGCGGGGGGGGGGGGGCGGAACCGGCACCCGCCGGCCGCTGCCGCCGCGCGGGAGCCCGGCGGGGCGCGGAGCCCCCTTTTCGGTGTGGGACCGGGTGCGGCGCGGGTGCCGAGGAGCGCGGGGGATTCGTAAATCTGCACCGATCCCAGCGGGTGCGCGCGTGGCTCAGCAGCAGCATCACCTCCTTCAGGTGCTTTTTGTGACCGCATCCCCCAAAACGGCCCCAGCAGCACAGGCACGGAGCGCTGCTGCTGGAGCTGCCACTTGCCACAGCGAATATGTCCCTCCCCCCCGCCTAGAAAAGCATCTTCTTGTGTCCGACCTGCCAAAATTACCCCCGTTCCCCCCCTCTCTGCTGCTGCTGCCGTCTTTCTTACAGACTCAACAAGCGACGGCCAGGGCGAACAGGAGCCGGGGTGGCTGTTAAGTGATCCAGCAAAGCAGATGCCGTTTAAAATTACATTACGTGCTATTTCTGTAGCGTTGGCACCAGCCCACCAAGCAACACGCGGCTGCGCAAAGGCGGCAGAGCCGCCGCCGGCAGCCCCAGCACTGCATGGCCACACTAAATAACCCAAAGCGCAGTGAAACCCTCTCATGACCATCGTTTCCTGTGTTTCCTTGACTGCTGCTCACAGCTTCTGGAAGTGACGAATCTCTTCTGCCCTTTGGTTTAACCACCCCAAAACTCGGGCACATTTCCGATGCAGAAAAGCACAATTCTGGGGTCATTTTAGGGCCAAACGCTTCTTAATCTCGACCAGTGCAATAGGACAACCCCCACTCTGTGTATTTTACCAGCAGCTGAAGGATGTAATTATATGATATCTTTTATTATCTTCTTGAAATAACTCCAGAGGCCAGGAGGAGGCAAGAGCCTGGTTTTGGAGAAAAACCCAAAGTTTGGCTGGTGGGGGCAGGGATAGAGGGAGAAGTTGAAAACGAGGAGTCAGGCAGCACAGGAAGGAAGCCAGTCCCTGTCCCAGTGCCTGCTCTTAAATGTACCCCCAAACCCAAGAATTTTGTCCCTGCTCAGCCTCCTGGGATGGAGCGACTCTGACCCTTGGTTGCACCGTCAGCCCCTCGCTCCTGCTTGTCTGCTCCAGCATCCCACAGGAACTGGGACGGGCCCAGTGAAGCTCACAGCGGGGCAACGCCATGCCCTCTGGCTGCATAACCCCTCCCAGACCCCAAAGGACCCCCACTCAGAGCACCCCCTCCACTTTAGGAAGCCCCCAGCCTTGCCCCGCTTCCTGCTCTACACCCCGATCTTCCCCTGTGTGGGCTTTTCTGCAACAACCACCACAAGCAGCCACCCGGCAGCCCAGCACCCCCAGATCCCAGCTGGGAAGTTGCATCTCCACAGCCCATTTTGCACCCAAGTCCCCAGGGATGCACGGGCACACGAGGGCCCTGCTATCGCCTGCCACTGCAAAGGACAGCAGACCTCGCTGGAGCCAAAAAGGGGTGACGTTTCACATCAGATCTCCCCTTCAGAAGGGGAGATGGGGTGGAAGGAGAGGGGTAACAAACTCCAAGCTCCACTGTGGATTTTACTAAGCAGGAAGGAATTTCACCAGCAAACCCACACGTACAAGGAGCCCTCGGCCTCGTGGCTCTCTGCCCTCGCATCTGACAGCTCTGCTCTCCAGCTGCTGGCAGTCTGGAGCCCTGTTTAATTAAGCCAGACAGCAATCAGCTCCCAGACACAGTGCAAGCAGCCATCACTCTCGAGATTCAGGCCCTTATCCCCGATCGCATCATTTTGTTGCCCCAAGGAGGGGACAATTCCTATTGAAAACCCAGGGCAATCACATAGATTTCAGCATTTTTGATGGGGAGGGACCACAGGGAGATATGGCAGACTGGGCTCAGCTCTCGAACAGCCGAACCAGCAGGGATAATATCGAAAGGTATTTCCCTGCCTGCTTCCATGGGCACACAATTGTGTACCGCCTGGTCTCCAAGGCCTGAGGCACGTCCCCGTATGACCCATCAGGACACCAGATAGGCACCAGTACAACAGTACAAGTTGGGATTTCACTGTTGCACACACCAAACCTGCCCCTGGGCTGCTCTGTAAATCACTGGTTTAGCCTCAGTTCAGGGTGGCCCTGAGACTTTTAGCCTCAATCTTTCCAGGGAGGGTGAGAGGAGGGATTTACCTGTACAGATCTACAGCTGCAGAGGGCCAAGGTGACAGTTTGCTGCAGTGTATTATAAACCAGCTCTGCTCTCTCCCCATCCCAGCATTTCAGAGCATCAGTACCGGTGCGCTGCTGCTGGGGGAGACCCGAGCAGCCAGACCCAGCTGGCAAAGGCACAGGAGGCCTTGCCATCCCTCCATTGAATCATAAACAGCAAAAAAGGTCAAGTTTTGTCAAGGCACAGGGAGGTGCCACTTGTCCTCTACCAACAGGAGGGTGTCAGCTCTTGGCAGGAGAAAACTCAGCCCTCAGGTCCGTGGCGGCTGGTAGCAGAGCCACGCTGCGCTCTCGGGTAGGAGGAGATGGAGAGCGGCAGGAGATGGCTGCTGTCTGCCAACAGGGATCCCCTGTCCCCTCCCTGTTCTTGAGCTCTCACACCCGAACGGCCGGGGGAGGGAAGATGCCCATCTCCTCCCGCAGGGACTCCACCGGCTGCTCCCAGCGCTGCTCGTAGTAGACGTTCAGGATACAGCTGGCGTTGCGCCCACTCCGAATCGCCCAGGGAACCAGCTCAGTGGCCAGGACCTGCAGCTTTCTGGAACAAACGATACAGGATGTGACAGTTTTAATTTCCATGTTTTGTTTTTGATTTTCTCCTCCAACTCCCCTTTGCAGGTAGATGCCAAACCTGTGTGTCCCATGTACCCTTCCACCCTTCTAGCATCCCTCCTGCTGAACTCTCAGGGAAAACTGAGGCACAGAAGAGGACAGTGTGCCAGGGAGGTTACAGTTGGCAGCAAACCCAAGACCAGACCTCAGGTTCTGCACTCCTCAAACTGTGCTGGTTCACCAAATCAGATGTGCTGGGGCAGGGAACGGCTGCCAGCATGGTGACGGTCCTGCTGGCCCTCAACATGTGCCCAGCCAAGGGCAGCCAGGCCTGGGCATTGCTCCTCCTGCCTGGCACAGGAGATTCAGTGCTGGGAGCAGAGGAAGCATCAGGTTCTGCTTCAGTGACCAGGCGAAGCCATGCCTCCTGCTGTCACCGCTTCCCTGGGCTGTGGGGACAGAGCAGGAGGTTCGCACTAGGGATGCCTGACTGACTGCCCCCACTGCAAACTAGCGGTGTCCCCTCTTTGTCCCCAGAGGACACCAGAAAGCATCACCCAGGCTGGTGCATCCCCGGCGCAGAGACTCCCTCCTCATCGGCCGGTGCTGGTGCCTACCGTGCGCTGAGCCGGACGGGGCCGAACGCTGCTCCCAGGACACACATGGGCAGCCCCGTCTGGATGGCTTCGAACCACTTCACCACCACCTCGCCTGGGAGGGAGCAGGGAGGCTGTCAGCGGGCAGGGCGCCCGGGTCGGGGGCCAGCCAGGGCTGCACGGCCTGCCCCTTCCCCAGGACGCCTACACACCCATCCCCTCCACCTCCGTGGCAGGACTCAGGAATGCTTCCCAAGTCTGGCCGTGGCTTCATCTTGTGCCAGGACAAACCTTGTCGTGCACCACCCACCCAAGAAGGATGGCCCAGGGCTGACAGGGATCAGCACCTCACAGTGATGCTCCATGAGCTTGGGAAACATCTTTGGCTCAGGGCTGGCTCCCTGCAGATCTTTAGCAAGGCAATTGCCGAAGCCTGATCCCCCTGTGTGGCTCTCCCCAACTCTAAGCATGGGACAGACCTTTCACAAATGCTGCCAGGGCTCACCCAAAGCCTGCATAGGAGACCTGTCACACTAGTTCCCACAGGCTCACCAGCAAGGCTCAACTTGCTATTGAGTCAGACGTAAAATGAGGGCAAAGGACAGGGAGACACGTAGATAAGGAGCAAAGGAGAACCCTCCACTTCTGCCTTCACTCAGAGCTTGCGAAACATCCCTCCCTGGGTGTCACCCTCCCTGCCTTGCAGCCAACACCCATGTGCCCGCCCAGCAGCTGCCTGCACCCAGGCCTTGGGCAGAGCATCTCCCAGCAGGGAAAAGGTGACATCCCATGGTTTCTCAGTCACCACAGAGCCAGTGATGTAGGACAGCGATGATGCAAACTGCCCCGCACACCAAGCTGGGCTGAGGATCGAGGAGTCCGACCGGCCCAGCCTGCTCCATTCCTGGGAGATGGAGCTGAGCACCATCAGCGGGGTTTGGCAGCGCAGCCCTCTGAGCCCACTGCTGCTCACCTAGCATGTTGGTCGGCATGCCCAGGAGGGTGTGCATCAGGTCGTGGACTTCCCGGTACCGCTGGATCACGTACGCCAGCTCTTCATCATCAACAAACCTGGGCGGCATCCGGGTGTCTGGAGAGACTTTCTGCAAATCCAAAGAGGTACAATTCAGCCCTTTCCAAACATCAGGTTTTGGCCTCATCCTTTAACATGCAGCAACACGTCCCCTCCATCAGTGCATCTCCCAGCTCCCAGTGATAGGGGTCAGTGTCATTTATGTAGATGAAAACCAAGGACTATGCAGCACTGGTGATGCAGCATCTCATCCAGCCTCCATAACTCCCTCTCATTTCTGGAGGGTTCTCCACAGGTTCCTCCGTGTCTCCGACCTCCCTCTAAAGCACATCTGTGCTCCAGGCACAGGGATCAACTACAGCCATTTGCACCCTCACGAAACCCCACACTCACGTTGTCCTCCAAGAATCGGACATACTCTCGGCCCAGCGAGCCGTCTGGCAGTCCCCGCAGCCTGGCCATGTCCAGGGTGGACAGACGGATGCAAGGCCGTTCCCTGAAGGCAAAACACAGGTCACTGAGTTTCCCAGTGAAACCCGCAGCAGGGGATCCTGGAGCAAAGGAGCCCCTGGAAACCCCCACCCCCTGCCTCTGCTCTCCCTGGGCATTCTCCTTGCACGGATCCTGACTGCTTGCTGCAGGGATAGCACTGTCCTCATTTCTGTTGCTGAGGCTGGGACACAAATTGCTTAAATCTTGTGCCCCTGTAGCAACTCTGGTTGGAAAAACACCTCTGCACCAAAATGCTGCTGCTGTGTGGGCTACAGACGAGGCACAGCCCCCAGCAACAGCCAGTCCTGTGGGAACAGAGCTCTTTAGTGTCCCTGAAAAGCAGCCAGAGCTTCAAAGGAACCCTAAAAAGAGGAGGGAATTTGTTCTAAACACAGGTTTAATGTAATTCCTGCTCAGGCTTTCACCACCAGCCACATGGCAGCCATGCATAGAAAGGTCTCCTCTCTGGGTTGTTGGCAAACTGGTGCCCCACAGCCCCGGAACTACAGAAAAGCCCTTTTATTTCCATGCACAGGATAAATTCTTCCCATGATAAAAGCCCTGCAGTGGATCCAGGAGCTGCTCAGCCTCTGGAGCAGAGGTGTCAGAGAGATAAGCAGGACCAGCACCAGCTTCACCCTGGCTGTAGACACGTATTTGGTGTCAAAGGGACCTTAGCAGCTCGAGAATTAAAAAAAAAGACTTGTGTGCACAAATGGGACCACTGCAAATCCTTGCAATACCAGCCCCAGCCCTTGGTGCCTTTGTTGTCCCCTCTCCCTGTGCAGTTTCTCTGGGTCTCAGCCCCATCCCGGTGCTCCGTGTGCTTTGCCAGGTCAGTGTCTGGAGCCAGGATCTGGCTGCTCTGCACAAATATGTGGCAAAAGGCAGCTCTTCCTCAGCTCCTACATGGTACAACCCAAACAATACACAAGTGACAGGCGTGATACATAACGAGGAGCAGGGAGAAGGCAAGCAAATAAACTGTAAGATCTTGGTTAATAAGAGACTCATAAAGTCTCTTCCGGTCCTCAGCCTTGTTGCGCTTGACAAGTCCCTGCAGACATGGAAGAAAAAGTGATCAAGCCTTAACAAGGAAGACAAGAGAAGTGGCCCCATTTCGTAGCTTGGGGAGATGCTTTGGGTGCTGGGAAAGAAAATACAGAGGTGCTTAAGTAGGAGGCAGACCAGCGGAGACAAAGTCTCCAACGCAAGGAGATGCAGCAGCCAGCGCAAGGGAGAAATCCATGGATGTGGTGGGTTTTCATCGCTGCTCAGGGATGGGTGAAAACCCACCACGTCCATGGATTTCTCCCCTGTGCCGGCTGCTGCATCTCCTTGTGTTGGCACCTGCCAGTTCCAGCAGTGAAGCAGAACAGATGGACAGCAGTGCTTGAAATAGGGCTGGGCCCAGTGGCTGCTGTGCTCTTGCCCTTATAGACTTGCCACAGGGCTCTTGTGATCGTTAAAAATAAAGTAAAATAAACAGCCTGGAGGGTTAGAGCTAACAAAACGCCCGTGCCATTTTCAAGCTGGGGAGCGCAGGGCTCTCCCTTCACGGGGCCCAAGGAATGTGCTTGGCCTCCTGTCTCCCTCCCCACCACGAACCATGCAGCGAGGGAGGGGGGGATGCGGCAGGACGCACTGGAGGATGCGGTAACCTTCAGGGTGGTGTTTCATCTTGTCTCGCAGGTTGGGCAGGGCAAGACAGCCCGTGGTCTCCCCAAGGACCGCTACCATGTCTGAAAGAGAGACCAGAGAGTGACCCAAGAGTGGTTTTCACAGCACCCAGCTGCCCTCACTTGCCAGGTGAGGAAATGGGGCAACAAACCCCTTGGCCAGGAGCAGGCAGGAAGCCTGTGGCGAAGCAAGGAGCCCCACACACCACAGATCGTTAGCCTCGGGGCTGTTCTGCCCTGGGATCACCCGCAGGGAGGGATGTAGGAGCAGCTGTGAGGCCTGGGGGACCAAGAAGGAATGAGATGGGGATGGGTGGCATCACAGAGGGTCAGGAGGAGATCACTGGGAGGTGTTCGGGGTTCCTGACCCCCTCTCTTCCATAGTGTCCTGCCCTGGGCCAGGGCTCAGCCCCGCACTTACCCCATTACTAAATGCTTCACCCAACGGGAGGAGAAATAAAGCCCCCTAGGAGACACTGGGCAGGATTTACTGTACGTTAATACGGACCGTGGGAGGAACGAGCCGCCCCAGCTCGGCTTACCGTGTCTGTAGGGGTCATAGAGAGCCATGAAGGCCGAGCCGGCGGCCAGCAGCGCTTTCTGCAGCGGGCTGGTGGGGATGTGCCCGGGGTACAGCTGGTAGCACCCTTCCTCCTCTTCCTCCTCCTCCCCGCCGCGTCCATCCCGGGCCCGCGGCTCGGCGCGGCTCAGACGGGCTCTGCCTACGGGGAGCAGGGGGTGAGGAACCGGCCGGCGGGTCCCCGGCGCCCGCGGGCACGGAAACGGGGCGGCCACCGCCCGGGCCGACCCTTGGGGCTCCTGCCCGGGGACGGGAGGCACTTGCCTGGAGAACCGAGACCCGCCCGGAGCAGCGGGACCGCCGCCCGCCTCAGCAACAGCATCGCCCCGCCGCCGCCTGCCCCGGAAGCGCCCGGTGGGGCGGAGCGGCGCGGCGCGCGGCGCGGCATGGCGGCGGTGCCGGGCGGGCTCTTCGCCGTCTACAAGCCGAGTGGGGTGGCGTGGAACCGGGTCCGTGAGGCGGTGGAGACGCGGCTGCTGCGCGGTGAGGATCGGTGGCGACATGACCCCCCCCCCCCCCGCCTCTGTCCCGGGGGGCTGCGGGCAGCCCCTAACATCCCCCCCCCCCCCCCCCCCCCCCCCCCGCCCCGCTTCTCTTGCAGAGCTGAACGCGGCGCCGCGGCGCGCCCCGAGGCAGCGTGTCCGCTTTCTGCCGGTCCCGGGCGATGGCGGGGCGACGGAGCTGGTGGCCACCAGCGTGCCGGTGCTAGCCGACCACCCCCTCGGTAAGGGCCGCCGCTGGGCCTCGGCTTGGGAGGAGGCGCGGTGGGACCCCCGGGGTGATGGGACCCCCGGGGTGATGGGACCCCCGGGGTGATGGGACCCCCGGGGGTGGCGGAGGCCCGGCCTCGACGCTGTCTCCGTTGCAGTCCGAGGCCCGCGGTTCAGGGGGCTGAAGATCGGAGCGGGTCACCGGCTGGACGTCAAGGCCTCCGGAGTCTTCGGTGGGTCTCGTCCCGGAGCGGCACCCCGTCCCTGCCGGCTGTGGGGTGATGGGTCTCCTCGTGGGGAGGAAGCGGTGAAAGCTCAGCCATGACACGGTGGTAGCCCCCTCACAACCCACCTGGCAGTATAAATGTTGAAACACAGATGAAACAATCCAAGATGACACCGGCGATGCCAGGAGGCAGGAGCGACCCCTTTAGCCCGGCACACACGGCTTTGCTGGGAGACACCCGGCTCCCGCTGGTGACACCGTCAGTGATCGGCCACGTAACCCCCCATCTCCACCCCACCACTTGAATTGGCGTGACTGCAGCTGGCATTGCTAAGCATTTGCCCTGAAGCACCCAGGTGAAAAGTTCTGGGGAAATCCAAGAGCCCTAGTTACAGCCTTATCATAGTTTTAGCGACAGGCAGTAATTTGGAAGTCTAATTGCACCGGTCAGAGATGAATTCTAAAGAGATATGGTCCTGGTCAGGGGGGAAGAAAGGCAGCATGAGTGCACGGCGCTGTGTAAACGCACGTTAGTAACTTTCTGTGTTGCAGAATAACGGTTTCCCCATCTTCTGTGTTTCAGTACTTGGCATAGGCGACGGGAACAAGCTACTCACCGATCTGTACCACTGCCACCTGACCAAGGTAGGTGTTGGCTCTGAACAGCCTCGGAATATCCGAGCGCAACCTCACTCTTGTTTCCTGCCCCAGTGCCCCAGACTGACCTTGTGACGGTGGTTCTGCTTCTGAGTCTTAAACCCACCAATGCTTCCGAGAGATTTCCAGGGTCCAGAATTACATCTTGCACGTGAGCGTCCACACGTGGCTGTATGAGCAGAGGACGCTGCTGTCGTTTTGTGCGACATCGTTGTAGCCTGCACTTCCTGGCAGCTGCATGGCAGAATATTGCTCCTCAATTGCTTGGAGTATTTCTTTGATAAATTGAGCTCTTTGTCCTTCTTCAAGGTCTATACTGTTGGTGGGCTGTTTGGTAAAGCCACTGATGACTTCTCAGACACAGGGAAGCTAGTGGAGAAGACAACATTTGGTAAGAAACAGAATTGATGTATTTTAAAAACAAAAAAAACAGAACACCAAACCGGATGCTAACTGTAAAGCATTTAACCAGGTAAATTGCACAATGATAAAAGGTACACCTTACCTGATTTCTAGTTGTTCATTTTACATGCAGCCCACGTGCAATCCTGATGTTCTAGTCCACCTGGTCTAAATACAACCACAATATATACAAGCCAGTATGAGTCCTGATCACAGTGGTTGCTACTGGATTGGGTGGGACCCAGATCTCTCCGTAAATCATACTCTGAGATAGTGGTTAGAAGCTTTCATTGAATTAAACTTCAAATACCCAATAAGAGAAACTGGAGCCAGCATCTTGAAATCAATTAAAATAATTCTTCCCTTTGTAGTTGGGTGCTGCTCTGTGCATTAGCACGGTGCAGCCAGGGGAAGTGACTCTGCCAAAGCCGCCTCTCGGCGGTTCTCATCGGCCCGTTTTGATGTGACTGCCTGCCAAGGGGACAGTAATACCCTGATGGCACATTTCAGACTGCTGTCTCTTTCCAGTTTCTGGATGGATAACTGAGACTTTGTTTCTACCTTAATATTTGCAGATCATATCACAAGGGAGAAGCTGGAACGGATTCTCGCTGTCATTCAAGGAACAAATCATAAGGCCCTGCTGATGTACGTATCCAGTGGGGAAATGCAGCTGACCTGACCCGGCTGCCATTTGCTGATCTTTAAAACAAATTAGATGATTTGGTTTGCTGTATCAAAGTCTCTAAAGGTTAGAGTGCTAGACAGGAACAGAGAGAAGTTACCCTGAGTGCTCTGTGCTCTGGTGAGAGGTTGCAGTTAAGTGTCGTCGTATTCTTAAATCTGCAGCTATTTTAGACTTAATAGCTACATTAGGACCTAAAAAAATACCTTGTAGATATGACCAAGTACTTCCCTTCTGAACTGTGCTACACTACTGATGGTACACATATAGCATTAAAATATATGCAGAGACTCAACCCATAGGCAGTTTTAAGAATAAAAATTGCAGCTCTGCTTTATTGGGGGTGAAGATGTTTTGAATCCCACTGAAGAGAAGTACTAAGTGTCTGTTCCCTTTTTTATTTTTCCAGGCATTCTAACATTGACATGAAATCACAAGAGGCGTATGAGCTGGCTGTCAAAGGGTTGATTCGCCCTATGGGAAAAAGCCCTCCAATAATCACAGCAATCCGATGCCTCCAGTTTGCACTTCCAGAATTCCAGCTAGGTAGGACTGGTACAAAATATACTGGGAAAGTGAGTATATATTATGGCAAATAAGTCAGTAAACTTCAGTTTCTTACTGTGACTTAAAGCAAAATGAGTTGGTGGGAACTTTGTAGCAACACGTAACTGATAATCGTTGCGGAAAATGGAATATTTTGTAGTTTTCAGAGTCACAAAAGCACCTTGTTAGATGAACATTTTAGCGTGATAAAAATTTTTTGGTAGAGCAAGATCTGGAACTCTCAACAATACTGAAGCTGCGTTGTAAAACAAGCCAGCTGTGCTCTTGGCTGACAGGTCTTTCCCTGCCAGTTCCAGATCTTAGACTGAAACAAGAAAATGTGCATATTGAATAAGTATTGGGAAAAATTCTTCCTTATCCCAATGTTTCAGTGTAATGCAGTTCAGTGTTTTGGTGGGATTTTCTTAAAGTGTGGTTGGCTTTCCTGCAGCCAGTCTCCTCAGAAATTGTTTATTAAAAAGGTACCTTTTCTTACATACTTTGAAATACCTAAATTTCCACATTACTCTTGTTTTGTAAAACATTCACTTTGGGAGGGGCCAAAACACCCTGCAGTATTTCCGAAAATCATAATCCACCTGTGCTGTATCTTAAATAGCCTCTTCTACCAAACCAGTTCTTTCAGCGTGAGTGATGTCTGGATTTAAATACAGGGTCTGAGTTTGTGTCAGCGCTTTGCTTCTCCTGAAGGAATCTCTCTGTCCTTCTAGAAATCCACTGTGTGCATGAGACTCAGCAGTACGTCCGAAAAATAGTTCATGAGATCGGTCTGGAGCTGAAATCATCTGCTGTGTGCACACAAGTGCGAAGAATCCGCGATGGTGTCTTCACACTGGATGATGCTCTCCTGAGAACCCAGTGGAACCTGCAGAGCATACAGAATGCAATTTGGGACTGTCAGCTTAAAGTGAAAACAGAGTTAGAGAGAACGCTAGGCCATCAGGATAAAAGTCATTTTCAGAAGATGGATGATGCGGAGATGGCCTAGGCTGCAGAAAGCTCAGTGTGTGCCACGGAGGGAACGTCCACAAGCAATCTCTGTAGCACAATAACGCAGCTACATGCTGACAGCATGACGGACAGCAGAAGGAAAGAGGTTAATTGCAGTTCACTTCCACCCGTTCCTTGAGATGGCTGTAATCAGAGAGGCATTTTTTTCAGTGACAGGCTGTATAATTTTTTTTTTTTTTTAAAGCATCGCAAACAGTTCATTAACAGGACTTAGCTGTGCCAAAATTCCTGTTGACTTTGGGAACATTAGGTTGCTAAGGGATATAAAACCCCATCCCCAAATTGTTTAGCAGCAGGAAATAACGTCTTAGAGAGCTGTATTCCCTCGATTGAACAGATTTGTTTGTTCCTTGCAACTGGCAGCATAACTTATCTACTGTATGGATTTTATTGTCCCTCTGTTGTCCCAGAGTATTTTATTTCCATTAGCCCTGCTTTCAGACACGTAAGAGCTCAAAATCAGACTAAAGGAGGGACGTGCAGGAAAAAACACAGCTTGCACAAAGCAACGCAAGGAAATGGTTATATCCAGAGTAGGTGTGTGAAAAGGAAAGTGGCTTGTAATAGGGATTGATGTGTAAGATGCACAAGAAATAAAACTAAAAGTGACCTAATGGGGAAGAGGCTGGTTCTTGGCTTGTTACTCATCCGTGAGGACACAGACTCAAAAAAGAGCATGCCATGTGCATTTTTATTTTATTAACCAAGGCTGTTCAGGGATCTGGGGTATCCTGCTCTGCAGCAGCTCCATGCAGACAGCACGTACTGCCCTTCAGTGAAACTCTGTAAGCTCTGTAATATCATTTGTTCTCCGTTAGCTCATTATAGCTAGGTCTGACTTAGCAGAAATACACTTTCTAAATTTAAATTAAAAAATCTGAAGTTACCCTTATTGCACTCAATATTTTTGCAGCTATACACTTAGCTAGCAAGTTTGGAGATTTATTTATAGAAAGCAGATATATTCTGTTCCTGTTTTGGATTTGGACAAAGGCCACCATATTTCATCCTCCAGATGATAGCCACTGAGGTACAAGCAGTAACTGTGGGAGGAGCAGTAAGAGGGGCCGTGATGAAGTGCCTAAGTGGCAGAGTGCAATCCTGTCCTGAAGCACCCCAGGGTTCATTAACTTAGACCCTGGCATCTTTCAGTTCTGCGTTTCCCTGCTCTGCACAGAGCAGCAGCGGAACGGAGCTGCCACCACGTGGCACGGCACCGTGCCAGCCGCAGGGACTCCCCAAGGGCAGTTTGCTCTTACCTCAGCTGGTTGGTTCTGGCACGTTCAAAATCCATGGACGAGGTAGTGGAGTCAGGGCACCTTCCGGGGACAGTAACTGTCTTGTGCTAACTGAAGTGTAAACCCGTTGCTGTGGGAGCGTGAGTTCTGGAGCCAGACACAACACTCCCACAGCTACAGCTGCAAGTTTTAATCCTAGCGCTCCTACAAGGAGAAGAAAACATGGACTTCTCCATCCTTAAATAACCTTCAGTAACTTTGGTAATGGAGAATACTTCATCCCCCATGGCTTACACCTAGCACAAAGTGAAGGAAATTCTGTATGTCCCATTGCAAAAACCATTCCAGCTGTGTGTGCCATTGCCAGGCTAACGTTTTTGGTCAGAACATTCCAGGTTAAACCAGTTCTTTCACAGAGAAAATACCAGCTAAATCAGTAACATGGGATTTGAGAACAAAGTTAGCATTCCCCAGTTCTAGCCACCTTGTGACTTTTTTCCTCCCCTTAAAACTACTCCAAAACACAGGAACTGTCCACACCTGGCACAAGGGGTTTATGGTGGGGAAGATATACCTGTAACCATATCCAGAGAGTCCATTCTTACATGGCTGCAGTAAATACCTGCTTGAGAAGCAGAGCTGCACATGAGCAGTCTCACTTGAATGAATCACAGAATACACAGGCTTTGTCTGTCCCCCTGCTTTAGACCCCTGCCCACAGCTTTTGTGGCAAAACAAGATACTTCTTAGTGATGCTTCTGTGCCAGATCCAGAACCAAGAGCACAGAAACAATTATCTGTTCTCAGCAGCAGCCTTGTGACAGTTTTCTGGTTTCCAAGCACTACAAAGACAGATTCATTTGATTCAAATTTGGAAATAATAAACAGACTGCAGCAGGGGTCTGACTGGAGACCAGGGCAAACTTACTCACAAGAAGGTCTCAGAAGTAGAAATGGGCACAAGGACATCAAACTTAAGTGAAAAAGGGACAATGAATCTGTAGTCAGCAGAGTACTTTATCACTTAGACCTGCCCAAAGCAGCCAAATTTAGTCTGTGCAGTCATCCTCAATCCTAACATCTGACATTGAAACACTTATGCACTCAATATAATTTTGCGCTTAGGACACCGCTCACTTTCACAGTGAATCTGCATTCAGAAGAGAGTAAAGGTAATTCTGCACCTACCCACCACTGGGTAGCACTGCCACACGATCTCCATTAAGAGCCCTCAGAAAACATTTGAATAATAGATGTTATAGCTGTCTCAGAATATAGTTTAAGAATTTGTTCCCATGTTCATGCAATGTTTTATAGGCTCTTAAAGTGAATTACTGAGAAATGTGATAGCTGCTTTATTCAGACTGGACAGTTCAACAACACAACTTCACATTTTGCCATTTACTACAGAAATGATACAAAACCTCTAGATACCAGAGCAGATAAGTACAAAAATGTAGAACACCCAGACTTATCCAGATTTGATCATAAAACAAAACCCCAAACCACAACTTCAGCCTTCCTTCCTCCCTATTTCTGAGGGTTTTTTCACTTTTTTCAAAGCAGCTATTACATTGCACATTTGTATGCCATCACTTCCTCTATCCAGTCAGTATCCAAATAGCACTGGACGTTGCAGAGGCAAAGGCTTCATGGGAAGAGTCTTAACATCAACCTGAATTACAACCTTTCCAATTAAAAAATAAAATTAGTGTTGATCAGGTAGTAGGTTAAATTATCTAAAGTCCTACATTCCTTTTCACAAGCAAGAAACAGTTGATAGATACAACAACTTTCATGTTCCAGAGCTTAGAATTAAGGCTGCTAACCCATACTCTGTTGCAATTCTACATACATACTTCCGAGGCCAGCTTATGTCAGCTCTAAACCAATATGACACCAAAACAGTGGCCCAGTAACAGTTATTTTTGCAGGATATGGCAGTCTTCAGCTTCAATGCTAGTCATTAAGCTCCAGATCGTATTCAGGGTAGAGCTGCTTTGTAGTAACCCCTCGGATAACAGCTAGAAAAGAAAGAAATATCATTGCTTTCATTAAACAAAGATCAGATCAGTCAGAAAAGTTGTGTTTTCCTCACAGTAGTCCCTAACTATCTCATAAAACCTCCCATCGCTAAGAAACCAATCTCGGGTTTTGCAGCTATCCTCCCTGCTTGTCTCAACACTTTTCTTTTTTCAAGCATATGAAGAACCAAACTGACAAAAATTGGTAATAATTACCAAATTTTGGTAATCCATAATGCAGACTAAAATACCAGTAAATGACAATTATTTCACATGTTCAGTTCTAAAAAGAACCCAAGAAAATAACAACAGAAGCATTTGTGCTTGCACAAGTGATTGGGTAATATAAGCCTAGAACTGAAGAATCTTTAAAATAAGCTCTGCCTTCATGGCACAGTAGCTTCTCTCTCTCTGTCTATATGAAAATGTTGACTAAAGTTCTTCAACAGCTTTCCTCTTCCTTACCCAGCTTGCCCAGCAGCATCTGTCCAGCATCTTTAATATCATTATACTCATGGAGCAGAGAGATGTGCTTCTCCAATTCCTCCAGGCTGTAGCCTCTGTAGCAATAGAATCAGAAAGGTCAAAAATGACACAGAGGGATTGCTGCTGCTGCATAGTGAGTGCTGCTGCTACTGACCAAGCACAGCAAGGATATTTGAGATACCCAAGCCTGGTACATCAAAAGCAGAATCTGAAGGCAGCAAGTACAGTTGCTGAAAGTTATAAACATGAAAGCTACAAATGAGCGGATCCTAATTTTGAGGGTTTTTTGGCATATCAAGACTTACCAAAAAAACCAATTCACCCAAATTCTCAGAATCAAGTAGAAACAGGAATAGGCTGTGGTGAATTCAATTTATACGTATCTCTAACCCGTAGCTAGGGAAAAAAAATAATTCAGAAGGTCTGTTTATCCTTGAGGATGAAACAAAAAAAGCTTTTGGAACAGCCTTTGTTGTTCTACCATTTCCATCCTATTCACTATACATTATCTTAGAAAATATCACTCCTTTGCAACAAATAACCCACAGAGATCATCTCTATTTTAAAATCAAGAAGCAATTTTATCTCAAAACAGTTGCCAATAAGCAGCTGCCACAGCATGTCATAAGAAACCACAATAAAACAGTTGCACTACCCTATATGTGGCACCCATCATGCCAAAGCATTCTACAGGCCACTTGCTTGCCTGGAAAACACCTCTGCTTCCTGAACACAAATGTTTAACCCACTCACCTCAGACACGAAACAAGTGAACGCTTAATCAAGATGGAAAAAGAGAATGAAACAGTTTTATCTGGAACTAAATTCGGCAGGTCATACAAGTAATGAACTCATTTTTAATTTTCACATGAACAAGCTCTTCTGGTAGCATGACGTGTTGTGGTATCATTATGGTTAAAATTATTCGTTTGGAGTTTACATCTAATTACCTCAGCAACATCTAGGGTAAAGTTAAAATCCTCTTATCTGAGATCCTAGTAAAACTTGTTTTGCTTTACCAAACAAACCAGAAAGAATTCCCTCTTGTCTCAACAGGTCCCATAATTCAAAACAACGCTGCAATCAATGTTGTATAGCACCATGATGAAAACGGCATCATAAGAGGTCAGCTTTTAGCTCTAATTCCTGGACCACATTTTGTTTTAAAAACAAAAATAACTGAGGCATCACATTTAACACTGAGCTTGCCAGGGACATACTCGGACAAAAACTGTGCAATCTCCTGGTCTAGAGCAAGGTCTTTCTGTTTCAGCTCTTCGATTTCATATCGCAGGGCTTCTTCGTTGGATCCATTAGGTTGGCATGGCCTTGGAGATGGGACCTGTGGAGCACAGGAGGCATTTAACCCTAACACAGCCCTTGATAAGATACTACAGTGCTGGAGGGCACTCATCAGAAAACTCTCCGCCACTGGTTAAAGAAAAAATTTAAGGAAAAAAAGATCTGCTGGGCAGGAAGGGGTGTGGGGGGGAAGCTCAGATGAAATATTTATCAGTTTCTGTAACGTTAGCTTGCTCCATATCATGTTCTGCTGCACTTTGTAGATTTACAGCATAAAGTGAAAATAAAATATAAAAATCACGATCTGGCTTTTAAGAGAAGCTCCCTGGAGGACGCAGTGCCAGATGGCGGGGCCAGCCCTTCCTCGGGCAACAACCAACATCACCCCCCAGCAGAAACTCTCCTTGCGGCGCCGGGCCGGGCCCCCGCCACGCTGCGAGGGGCTTGGGGGGGGCAGCGCCCGCCGCCGGGACAGGCGCCGGGAGAGGACAGAGGCAGCTCCCGGGGGGCCCCACGGAGCGGGGCCCCACCTCCCCCCCAGCCCGGGCGGGGACTCACCGGGGACTTGAAGCCGCCGCGCCGGCCGCCACCGAAGCTCCTGGCAAAGCAAAGAGGCGCCGCGTCAGAGGCCGGGCCGCCTCCAGCTGAGGCGGGAGCCCGGCCCGCGGCGCAGCGAGCTAAGGGGCAGCGGGGAACCGTCTCCCACCTCCCGGGCAGAGCCCGCGGCCGCAGCTGCCGAGGCGGGCAGTGGCCCGCGCCCGGCGAGACTCCCTGGGCCAGGGCTGCGGCCTACACCGCGGGGCACGCCGGGAGCTGTAGTCGGGCTACCGCCGGAAGGCACGCCGGGAGCTGTAGTCCCCCCCCTCACAGAGCCCGGCCGCGGTTCCCGCGCCCGACGCAGGAAGCTGCAAGTGGTGTTTAGGTGGGGTGGGATATCATTATCCTCATTACCGCAGCCGAGGTGATTACACGCCGAAAAATGCCTCGGAGCCGCCTCAGCGCCCGGGCCGCAGCTGGGACAGGATCTCGGGGAGAGCTACAGGGGCCTGCGGGGTCACTCACACAATTATTATATTTGTAGGGGAAAAGCTGCCACCGCCGGCAGCCCTGCGTGTCTTGCCTGGCCGGAGGAAGTGCTTGCTGACCGTCCAGTGCCGCTCCCGGGTGTGCAGCCGTACCCTCTGCAGCCCCCGACCCCACAACCAAAACCTTCACGCGCAAACCCAATGCAGCTTCTTGGACCAGCTCAGAAGGAGCCTCCTTCCCGCAGCTCTCCTGGCCTTGGCTGGCAAAGGTAAACATGTCCCTGTGCAGCGCCAGGCGCTGGCAGGAGCCGTATCTGGTTTCCTGGGCTGACCACGCAAACCAAGCTCTGCTGTTGCCATACTTGGAAGGTCAAAGGACTTGGGAACAGGATCACACACCGGCAAAAACCAACCGCCTGCGCTAACCGTGACTTCAAAGGTTCAGATCAGACATCAAAGCGACGCACACAAAATAGAAAGCTATGTAGATACGTAGGACGTGCCCTACAAAGGATGAGGGAAGCCTGCCCAGCTCCCCAGGCTGGTTTCTAGCCAGCGTCTGCTCTGGGCAATTGAGTCGATATGGGAGCGTGGAACAGCGCAGGGTGACGCGCAGGTGGAGCGTGGCAGGGTGTCGCAGAGTGTCACACAGAGCAGGCAGGGTGTCGTGGGGTGTAACTCATCAGGAAAGTGGCTTGGTGTTGCAGGGTGTCACACCAGGGGACCAGCACGAGGTATCGCACAGATGGGATGGGTCAGGTTGTCACTCAGCAGGAATGGGGCGGGGTGTCGCCGGGTGTCACAAGGGAGAACCAGAACGGGGTGTCACAGGGTGTCACAATCGAGAACCAGAACAGGGTGTCACACGGCAGGAGCGGGGCAGGGTGTTGCGGGGTGTCACACAGCGGCAGCGGGTGAAGGTGTCGAGAGGTGTCACGCAGCAGGAGCAGGGGAAGGCGTCGCGGGGTGTCGCCCCGCAGCAGCTGGGCCCTGCGGGCCCCCGCCCCGCGAGGCCCGGGCCTGGGCGCGCCGGCCGGGGCGGGGCGGGGCCTGGCGGCCGCCCCCGCCGCGGCTGACGTGGCCCGGGCGCGGGGCGGACATGGCGGACGGCAGCAGGCAGAGCAGGCTGGCGGCGGCCAAGAAGAAGGTGAGGGGCTGGCGGGGGCCGGGCCGGGCCGGGCCGAGGTTGGGGGAACCGGGCCGCGGGCCGCGGGCCCCGTGTGGTTCGGAGCCGCCGAGCCGCGCCGAGCCCGGCCGCCCCCCGGGGGCCGCGGGCCAGGCCGCTCGCTGTGGGCCGGGCTGCGGCGGGGCCCGCCGGGAGCCCCCGGGTGTCCGGAGCCTTCCCGGGAGGCGGCAGCCCCCAGCCCGGGGGAGGCGGCTGGGGAAGGGCTGGGCCCGGGCTGCTGCGCTGCTGTGCAGCTGTCTGGCTTGGTTTGGTGGTTCTCCGCCCCCCCCCCCCCCCCCCCCCCCCCCCTTTATTTATGTGTGTATTTATTTATTTATTTATTAGTTTTTACTTTTTTTTTTTTCCCCCCCTTAAATTTTTTCCCCGGGGCGGCTCAGACCTGTCCGTCCCGGCGGGATGCGCCTGTGTGTCAAAGTCATACGAATGGGAAAGTGTCCTGGAGCAGTTCAGGCTTCCATTTTGAAAGCCTCTGAATAAATGGGATCCTTCTTCTCATTTAATTTTCTTCCCACCTTGACTCTGAAGTGCGGTCGCAACCAGGCCCGACCCACCGGTGTCTGGCACAGGCAAACGGGGGTGTTTTGGCTGTGGCAGGGAGCAGGTGGAAGTGGGTAGTTTACATAACTGCCTGGGACTTACTTGGTTTGGGGCTTTGGTGTTCATAACATACACAAAAACGCCAAAACACTTACCAGGATTCGAGTTACAGCTTATCAGGTTAGCTTTTCCTGGGTGGATATGATTTAAAAATCAGTTGTAGGTTGCTGCTTCTCTTCCTTCAGAGTTACTACACTATCTGTATTAAAGTGTTATCTGTGGCAATTGTAATTTTCCTTCTTGCAGTTTTTGACAGACTGAAAGGTCTTACTATCAGGCACTGCTTTTTCATTTAGCGTTCAGGATTAATTGCCCTTTATTAATTTTTCTTCATTGCTCTTAGTTATGAAGAGGGAAGGTTATAACTCTAAAAAAACCCCAAAATACTTCTTTTAATCTCCTTTTAGTTGCAGTATGGAGTATCAGATTGTTTCCCAAGAACATCATTACCTGTATAGAAAAGTTTAGGGTTTACAACTGTGCACCTCTTGTCATAAACCCCTCACACTAGTTTTTACTTTAGGCTTCTCTCTATTTTTTTTTTTTCCTCCCAGAGGGGCAAACTCTTTGAAGAGTATTTCTCTTGTCCTTACAATTGAGCTGTCTTTTTACCCAGTGGAGTGTGGGTTTTGGTGTTGTGTTTTTTTTTTTTTGTTTGTTTGTTTGTTTTTTGACATTATACTCGTAGAAGACATATTCCATTTGGACTTAAGATTATTCTTCTTTTTTAACAGCTGAAAGAATATCAGCAAAAGAATAACCCTGGAGCAACTGCAGGAACTAAGAAAAAACGCAAAACTAAAGAAGGCAGTAGACCTGAGACTCCCACCAATGACGACCGTCAGCCTCCAGAGAACGTGAGTGTCTCATTCTGTCTCCCAAATCATTTGCCATCTCCTTGTTCTTTGGTTTTCTGAACAACTTGACTGGGGCTGGGAAAGGGTTATGCAGGTATAATAGATGAATGGTGTAGATGCCTGTATTGCCAGTGTATGGAGTGTGCTACAGTCGTTGGCAACTACCTCTACTGGAAGGTGCACAGGAAGGAGTCAGGGTACGTCCCGAGACAGCGTCTGATCGTACAGTGCTGTCGCGCAGCCCAGGGTGTGTCCAGAGCTGCTGTTTTGAGGTGGAGGATGCTGGTTTCTTTGGCTACCTTTGATTGCTGTTTTCTCTCTGTCCTTTTCTGAGCCGTTTCTCTTTCCCCTTTTCTTTCGCCTCCTTTAGATTCAGAACATTCTGAAGGTGCTGGTGTCAGACCTTAACCGCTCCAATGGGGTAGCCATACCCTCATTGGACAAGAGGAAGGTGAGGCAGTGCTCGTGTCCCTCGCAGTGACGCGCTCTCCCTCCTGCATGCTTCGGGTTGTGTTTACACTGACCTTGATTTTTCGGATGGAGCCTTGTCCTGACATACCCACTGTCAGTTGCTTGAGTTTTGTTGCTGTTTTTATTAACATGGGGCTATTTGTTACTGTGCATTTTCAATGCTCGTAAGTGCTTGTTTCCTTCTGGTTTGTGTCAAACTTAATGTGTGAAAAATTGAACCTTGTCAAAAACTCTTCCTTGAGACAGCTGAGCTTTGGGAAGAACTAGGAATTTGGGGTGAGGCAATAAAACTAACTTAACTGCTGAGGAAAACTACTAGGAAGAGGTAGTGTTTTCTTAGTCTGTATTTCTATGGTTCTGCACATCATTGCTTTATTTCCTAGAGCCTCGTTTCTGAAGGGCATGTTTCCGCTTATCTCCAGGCAAAGGCTGTCCTGAGTAAGCTGTCTAGTTATTCCAGCCAGCCCATTTTATGACAGGCGATGAAACTTGCCCAGGTGATGTACAGTCTGGCAAGTGTCATGGGTTTAAATATGTATAGGCAGGAAGTCAGATACTTCAAGCATTTACAGGCTTTAATGTCCTCATGTTTCCAAGCTTCTGAAGAGGAAAGGGCAGGAAGCATGCCCATAAGCAACAGAAACCTCTGCAGGAGCAAACATAAACAGCCTTTTTTAAAAATGTATTTTCTGACAATCAGTTTATTTAAATAAAGCTCAGATTGTGATAGAAACTCAGGGAAGTCAAATTTTGTAGCTCAGAATTTTCTTCCAATTTTGTTGTACCAAAGCTCTGCTTTTCATTTTCACTTGCATCATTTTGGTAGCTTATTTCCCTACCATTGTTTCAATTTAGTTGTCATAAAGTTGTCATTATTATATTTACTGCGTATCCATGTGTCTACAGCAATAAATACAACTATAGTAATCACCAGGGATACCAGATAGATGTAGTGAAACCTGCAAGATGGAATGAAGTTCACTCTGAACTGCCTCTGTATTCTTTTTCTCCTTTTTTTGTGTGATTATGACAGCTGTTCTGTCTGACACCCAGAGTGAACAGCAGAAAGTTCCTCCAGCTGGACCTTGTATGTGTAGGTTGCGTATCAGTAGTACTTGAGTGATGTGAAGACATATTGCCAGCTTTGAGGGTGCTGGATGTGCCTGTCTGGCATCAGAAAGCATGTATTTTGATTGAAGTTTCACTCTTGTCATGGAGACTATTTTCAGTTAATACTCGTAAACTCAGTGGTAGTTGGATCTCAGTAAGACTTGTTTCACATTGGCGGATGAGATGAAGATGGGTGGTCCAGTGCTGTTGTTGAGATGGCATTTGCTCTTGCAAGGAAGGCCTACCTGTGTCTACAGTTTTAGTCGTGTTCTGAAAATGGGGAATTTGTTACTTCTATTAATTCCTGTTTTCTCATTTTTGGAGAGATACATTTTGATCTGATTGACTGTTACGGAATTTGCAGATTCTTTTGCCTGGGGTTTTAGGAATAATTTGAAAACTAATCTTTAATTGCAGTATTTAATGAAAGAAAGATTTCTGTTTCTAGTTGATGTCTTGTAAAAATCCTGAGTCAGGAAAATGATGTTCAGAAACTCACTTGACGCTAATAGGGCAGAAAAGCTGACTTAGTATCTGAGCTGCTGCTGCCATTGGTGTCTTAATGTGAGGCAGACCCCTCCCATCTCACCCACTTCAGCTCTCTTGGCTGTGAAACACAGAAAACCCAACAAAATAGGAGCCTTTGTGTGAAAGCAAATGGATCCTACTATATGCTAAGCTGAACAGAATTACTAACTATTATTCTACATTATTAGAACCTCCCAATGCGTAATTTCCAGATAAGTGTTTGCTCCTAACTCTTTGTTTCCAACAAATTCAGCTTTTAAATTTTTTTTTTTTTTTTCATTTTTTAATTATTTCAAAACTGCTTATTGTGGAGGAAGAAGGAAGGAGTTCTTGTGGTTAAGGCACATTACTGGTTTTTGCGTCTTGAAGCATTAAGCAAAAAGAATGTCCCAATCAGAAGAAAGTAAGGAAACATTTTTGAGATGTACTGGAGAAGGTATTCCTCCTGTCCATCTGACGTTCTATACTGATGAGTGTCTGAACAAATAAAGGTGAAGTAACCTGTAGCTGGAAGAAGTAAGGAAATTCCTGACCTTCCTATAAGCACCTAACATATATTGCTCCTTGAGAGCACAACTATCTGTCCTGCTAAAAAGAAATTGAGAAAATTCTATTTGTTTCCCTCTGCAGTCTTCCAGCTTAATGCTTTCATTAAACCTGTCTCCACTGTTACTGTTATTCTTCTTGGTGCTTGATTCATGAATGAATTCCTGAGCAGGTAAACAGGGAATGCCAAGAGACAGATGTCTTATTTCCTGTAAAGTGATGAGAAGGAAGTGACTGAAGTAAGAGGGAGCTCTTTCAGATGGAATAGCAGAGAGATGCAGTATATTGGTCAAGTTGAATGTTGACAAATCATCTCATCTGCTTTGTAGTGTTGTTAAATGAGAATTTATCGGAGCTGTATGATGCAATAAATCAACTGTCATAAAACACCAGAACACTACTCTGGGCCTTTATGGCTCTCTGATGCTGTATGAGATAGCTGAAACCGTCCAGTTCACTGTGGCTTGGTAGAGGTGTCATCAGATGCTATTCATCCTCCCACGAAGGCTGGATGAGAACTTGCATTGCTGTCTAGAAATAGTTTTTTGGCCTTTCTCTTTTCTATTTGGACTCTTCTAGTCATGGGACTCATAGCTCCAGCACGGCCACAGGCACCTGCTCCCAGCCAATGCTGAGTTTGGCCTGTTCATAAATGTCCTGTTTCTAAACTTGTGGTTTGTGGCATGCCACAAATTTCAGAGTTTCAGATGGAGCGTTGGAGTTTGACTAACCCAGTTCTCAAGTAGTCACTAACCTCCTCTTTTCCATCTTAATTTGCATACAGTGATGAGTGTTTTCCCCAGATGTATCTGGAAGGTAGTGCTTTTCAAAGCAGAGTGGCTACCATCTGGCTTTGCCCCCACCTGCTTTTTGGCAAGTCCTTTGCAGTAAATCTAATGTGTGAACATGGAGCTGGATGTGACATTACTGTCTTGTGTTAAAGAAGCAAGTTTGATTATGGGACGCCAGTTCTTCAGGCTGGCTCTGAGAGGGCACAGGTCTGGGACAGTGTTTGTGGGTTGATGGATTCACCTGTTTGCTCTGGGGAGAACACAGATTCCCTTCCACGTTTCTAAATGATCAGTTGTTCACATCTGTGTAGTTTTCACAGGCAGATCATAAGGTGATGTGTTCATGTGTGTTTTCCTTCATTCTGCATGAAGGCTGTAATTCCTGTGATGTGTTTTGTGACAGGCATACTTTGACAGTGATGTTGCCACTCGTAATGCTGAACAGCTTGCTACCGATGTCCCTGTGCTATCTAACAGCAACAGTCTACCTAGTTGTGGTTCTGTTCTGCCTGCTCCTGCGAGCATGCAGGTGACACAGGTTTGTGAATTATCATGAATATTGCCATTGCATATTGGTTAACGATACCATGTTGGTGTTTTTTTTTTTTTGAGAAAGACAGTCTTCATAAATATGACATGACTAGTTCAGATTTTTTCCTGTTAACAATACTGCATTTTCCACTCTCCATCTAGTCATTATCTGTCTGGGAGAGCAGGGAGCGTACTGGCATGCGTGTGCCCCTGCGTCTTCCAAAGGTGGTGTCCTTCCTCTTCTTTCCTATTTCATGATCAGAAAGTACCCTTAATAAAACAGAAGACATCCAGTCATATCAATCTGTGCTTCCTTTCACTACTTAAAGATTCAGTTTAAGTTTTTTTCCAGCAAAGCAGAATGTTTATTTTTTATATATATATATATATATACTGATAGTATACCGATAAATAGTATACAGGTAAATAGTAACAGCAAACGTAAAGCCTGTAACACTTAAGTTTCTCCATTCCAAGAAACCCAGGCTCACACCACTCAGAAATTATGTGTAAGCCAGGACCGAGTTGGTGGTTTTAAGTTCATCTTTCTTTGGGAAGCAGTAATTACAGGTACTGTGGAACCTGAGCCCAGATGTAATCAAGTCTTAGTGACACATTCACAAAGATGACTCCCATCTTCTTTTACAGGCTTGTAAGTTTTTGTATTTCAATCCACAGATTCATGAAGCTGAAGACCATAAAAATGCTTTGGATGAGAATAGGTGAGTGTCTATGATAAACAGCTTTGAGACCGGATCCCAAGAAATTAAGGTTTTACTCCTCCCCTGTGCTGTTCTGATTTGGGCAGTTTTCTGGGAGAAATTTTCATCGCAAGGTCTTTCTTTGTTCCCAGGTCTTTCTCGTCAACAGAAAGTCTCCGCCAATTGTCTGAACAACTCAACGGCCTGGTTTCTCAGGTACGGCCTCGTTTTGATCCATTTGTCCTATTAATTCTCTTGATGTTTGATGTGGAGCTTTAAGCAGTCAGCTCAAGAAAACACTCTTCAATCTGAGGTGTCTGCAGTGATCCTACTAAACAATATGATATCTAAGTATTGAGAAGCAAAAAATCCTGTTTTAGGAATGTGCAATTGCAGCAGTAGGAAGAAAAGCAGAGTGGGATGAATGAACAGCATGTATTCATGGAAAGACATATTCTTGATTTAGTGGAAAAGAATCTGAAGTCAATCTGCATAATTCACATCAGCTTGTCACAGAGGGGAGTCTTGCATCTATCCTTAGCTAGAAAAGTATGTTTTCGGTGCCTGTGTGTGGTAATTTGAAGTGAAAGGTGCTATAAGGAGTAGTATTATGATAGTCGGTTCTTACTTAGTAGTGATTTCTTGCCTTGAGGATTAAAACTGACTGACTTGACTGATTTACTTCTAGTCTACGTCGTATGTGAATGGGGAAAGTGCTGTTTCTTCCACAAATATTAAGGAAATGGAAGTAAGTTGTTCTCAGTCTATTCTCTTTTTTTTTTTTTGTCCTTTTTATTTGCTACTGTTGATCACTTATTGGGACTCTGTGCTTACAGCAGTGTTAATGAGACCTAATTGAATGCACAGTTCATGTGCATCACTATCTAGTGTCATCTTGTGCTGTAATTGGGTAGTTGTGATCAACAGTAGGAGGCAGGTGTTGGATGTGTTTCCAGTTTGAGGACTGGGGATAATCTGGCTTCCATGCAACTGCTTTTGTCAAAATGAAGCCTCGACAGAAAAGGATAAAATATGTTGACGTCCCAGCTGCTTTTTTTGAAACTATAAATTTTTTGTTTGCAGAATCTGATTATATCAAACTGTGATAATGATTTATTTTTCTGTCCTTTTTAATTATTGCTTTTTTCCTCCCCTCCTCCTCTTCTGCTCCTTCCTTTTTCTCCTGTCTGCATGTGCCCATCAGACACGTTACCAGGAGCTGGCAGTAGCCCTGGATTCCAGCAATCTAACTAACAAACAGCTCGTTACAAAGATAGAGGAATTGGTAAGAAACAATCCAACCAACCAGTTTGACATTGTATTTGCTGCTCCTCCATGCTCTCTGGGTGTCTGCAAGGTTATGGATTCTCTCATAGTGCCACAAGGAAGGCTGTTGTAAGAAATAAAATGGGCCATATGAAAAACCTGTTAATAGGATCAAAATCTAAGGCCACTTGTGAATGTATTGGCTCATCTGAGGAACAAGAAACAGAGTTTTGTTGTTTCCATTTAAGTGTGCTCTGTTGATCTCGTCATGCTTTCCCTGGATGATAAGCATCCTGATAAAACAGCTATTTCTGGTCTTGGTCTGAATCCTTGAAATACTGCTGCCAGCACCAGGATTCTGTGTGAAAACCTGTTTCTGCAGGTGGTGATGCTGTTCTAAATATATCAGCGGAGTGGGAGCAATAGGTCTAAGAGAGAGCCTGGGGCTGGTTTCTGATCATATCCTCAGCTTCTCTTGGCACGATGAATGAACTGCTTTGTGCTGTGGCCTGCATGGATTCCCGCTGTTGCTTTTCAGCCTTCAGCTTTAACACTGCAAGAAATGCAGCTAAATGGACTTGTTTCAGTCTGAAAAGAGCCTTTCTTGTGTCCAGTACTTTTCCCCATTTTATTCTTCCCTAAAACTACTTTTCCCCAAGTTCAGCATTCCCCAGTGTACCCCATGACCATTTGTTTTATTTTGGGGTTTGGATTATTTTTGTTCCATTCAGTTTATTTTTGTCTTTTAGCTGGGCTGCAGAGGTACATGGTATAGTGTATTGCCCCGTCAAGATTCTCCTTGTTTGACTGCTTTTTTGTTTGCCTGGAACTATGTAGGGCCTTTGCTGCATTTGTGGTCTTGCTTTTGCTTTTCCTGGTTATGTTGTGACTGGCATTGGTAGAATTAAAACCTCTAACTCCTCACCCTTCCATCCATAGTCAATGTTCATTCTTTGGGAAGGGGAAAAAGTACTAATTATGTAGTTAGTTACAAGGCATCTGTGAGAAAACTGCCAGGGGACAACAGCAAATGGCAAAGATGGCAGCACAGTTTGTGTGGCAGCCTGGGTAGACAGCTGCCACTTGTCTCCACCTCAGATCTAGAGGTGCACTGTGCATAGTCAACAAATCTCCAAATACTTAGAATCACAGAATATCTCAAGTTGGAAGGGACACTTTACCCATAAGATTGAAAGTAGCTAGGACAGAATAATCCCTTTTCTTTGCATTTGGCTTCAGTTCTCTCTCCTGTAGCCTTCTGCAGAAGCCTGCCGACATAACTGCAGCTCTGCATGACTTAAAGGCCAGTTGTTACATGGGATAAGGGTCTAAGGTCTCAGTTAAAGGAAAAGACTGTGGGGTTTATTTGGGCTTTTTGGTGGGTTTGGTTTTGTTTTTTAACAAAAAGCATTTGTGGTGATTCTCCTGATACACCAGGATTGCTGTGATTAATTTCATAGATGTGGGATGCAGGTTAAAGAGAAGTTGGTGGATGCTCAGATTGGAACATACAGGGGTTTCAGTAGTGGTATTTGGGAAGAACTGTGGTAATGTACTGAGCAGTGAAAAACATCCCTGGCATATAAAGTATATTAATGAAGGGAGCCCCAGATCTTACTATTTTTATTATCTAAGATGAACTTCCTAGTCTACAGAAAGGATAATGGAAATTCTGTTTGCATTAATTGGGCATGTATCTTACTTCATCAAGGAGAAAATGTGTTTCAGCAGTATGGGAGTATTTTCTTTTAATACCGGCACATCAATTTTCTTCCGCAGAAACAGCAGAACCAAGAAGTAGTGAATCAGCTGGAGAAGGTAAAGCATGTCCTATTTTTGGATAGATACAGAAATAGGTATCTATTTCTCTGAGGAGTAGAAAGTGTAGTGGACTATGGCAGAGGCATATGTGATCTTATGTTAGATTCAGTTTCATTTGTAGCATAAGGTCGAGTATTTTGACTTCATGAGTTAGGCCTGGCAGGCAGAGTTCTTATTGTGAGAAAAGCTAATATTTAAACACACCAGTATTGGAGGAGAGCAGTGGAGGCAGCAGATTACAGTTTAAGTCCTTGCCAGTAGTTTGCATTCCAAACATTGCCACATTTATGCTAGCAATGATTGCACTATGCTGTCATTGCCATTTTAGGATGGATAAATAATGAAGTAGTTCAAATAATGGAGGACTGAAGTATGTCTTTAAAAATACTGGTATCATTGAGATGCTGGAAGTACTACCAATGGATCACTGCTTTTTTAGTTTGACGTAAGACAAAACGGTTTAACTATTTACATTTTTGTGCTGAATAGGCATCATTTATTCATACAGGAAAAGAAGCAGTTTGAACAGAAGTTTTCTAAAGAGCAAGCAGCACTGAGGGAACAGCTGCAGGTAAGGCCGAGTCTCCATCACAGCAATATCACCTGGCTTCTGTTGTTTTCTGGATTACTGGCCACTCATAGTCTTTATCCTGGAAGCCATGAGTCCATTCCTTCAGGAAAACTGGGACTCAGTCAGCCAGACTGCACTTAACTGCAAGAGCTCTTTACTTTTACTCAATTGATCCTTTTGTGGCAAGCAGTTAGAAGCAAAGAAGTTTTGTGTTTAGCTGATTTTCCTTTCCCGAAGGTTCATATCCAGACTATTGGAATTCTAGTTTCTGAGAAGTCTGAGTTGCAGACAGCCCTTGGACATACTCAGCAAGCTGCACGGCAGAAATCAGGTAATCAACTGTGAGCGCTCCAGCTCGAGCTGTTGATTAAACTGTGGATTTCAAGTCACAGTCATGACAGTTGCTGGCAGCCAGCTTGCAACACTCACTGACTCCTTAATGAGCAATACTTGGCACTGTCACTGCTTCTGTCATCATAGCTGCCCCCAAATGGGAGCATGTTGATCCCATGGCAGTTGAGGTTCTTTTGTGCATCACTGTAGCCTTGTCAGCCCTGTTTGGGCCTGGTGACTACCCCAGACTGTTCCTTTCTGACTTTCTTCTGATTCTTTTAAAACTTTGTTCCCTTTTCTTTGCCTTCCCTCCCACACAGCTGTCATGTTAATGTAGGTTTTACTCAAGCCTTTCATTCTGAATTAAATCTGAGCAATTTATTCTATTAGAAACAAACAAACAACATATTGTCAATTGTTCTGCAAAGGAAGTTTCATCATCTCCCTCTAAAAGTGAGGAAGGTAGTTACAGAGAGCTTGACTGCCCAGAGTTGCTTGTGAATCACCCGTAGAGCCAGGAGTGGAAACAGGTCTACTGATCTACAAAGACTTGTGCTGCCTTAAGAGCTTGTTGACAAAGTAGAAAGTGCTGTTCAGCCAGTTACAAAAAGCTCTGTGTGGTCTAGCCTCAACTGACTTTGCTCTGACTTGTTCAGGAGAAGCTGAAAACCTTGCTGTTCGTTTACATTCATCTCGCCAGAGGGTATCAGAGCTAGAACGTACTTTGTCCTCCATCTCCATGCAGCAAAAACAGTCAGAGAAGGTAAGAGTCACCTCTATTTATGCTTAACCAGCAGCTCTGACTTTGGCTATTTGCTTGTCACTACACTACTGCAATGTCTGTAGTCCCTGCTTAGAGAAGAGGCAGAAATTAACCTTGTTAATCGTTAATTAAACTTGTAAAACCTTGAATTCTCCATGATCAAGGCAAACTTTGTTCAGGTTTCTGTGACCACTAATCATATTGTCCAGTTGCTGTCTTCAGATCTGGCACCTTCATTAGTCTTGCAAGCTCCACACAACAGAAGCCTCACTGAGACCTTGTCCCAGGAGGGTCCCTGTCAAGCAGACACTTTAGTATTGATATTAATCCAGAAGCTTGCAGAAATAACCTCATGTTCAGTTAGTAGCAACACATTTGAAAAGACTGAGCAGAATTATTCCTGGCAAATTCAAGAGGTTCTAAGCAAACCTGTCCTGAGGATTTTGCCAAAGTTACGACCTTTTTCACTTTAGCTGATCTGCTAAAGGTGAAATGAAGTATTTTTTTAACATCTTATTTGTTTGGCTAAAGTCAATAGATGAATCAATAATTTCCTTTTTCTCCAGCATAATAAAGAGTTAGTGAAGGAGCGAGACAACCTGAAACTGGAACTGTACAAACGAAGGTAAGCCCATTCTGCTTGTCACTGCAGCTTAACACTACTCTTCTCAGTAGAGCCACAAAACATAACAAGGGGCATGGATCACAGGTGGTGACTTGGGAGGTTGGATATTCAATTTAAAAAAAAAAAAATCACTAGATATTAGTTTTTGTGATTCTAGCTGCTAGGAAGAACTGGATTGTAAATTTATGACATGGACATCAGCAGGCCCATAGTACATATAGTGATGCCAATTTTGTTTGTTTGGTTCAGCAAAAGTAGTGAGGAAATAAAGCAGCAGAATTCAGAGCTGTCCGAGAAGGTTCACTCTCTGGTTTCCAAGAACTCGGCTATGAAGTTGGATATGGAGGATTTGCATAAGAAATTGGAAATGGCTGAACTGATGATTCAACAGGTAAACATAGTATCTCTGGGATGTGAGGGTAGATCTCACTGATCATTGCAGGACTTTGCTTCTGACAGTGGGGGCAAGACTTAACTCTTGTTTTTAAAGGAAGGGACAAAATCTCATCAAGACATCCTCTTTAAAAGGCTTTCAGTGAGGCCCCTGAGGAACAGAGTCTATATTCTAAGGAGTTGGAGCAGTAGATTGAAAGACATTGTGACATCGGTCTGCTAAAAGAATGTTATACAATATAAGAGGGTGACTGAACATACCAAGTGTGAAAATACAGTGACTTTTCCTGCTTGTGTCCGTTTAGCATTTTGGTTACTCAGTTATTGTGTGGTCTCACTGAGAAACCAGTTGAGTAGGGGTGATGTTTGTACCCACCCTGGCAGAAGGTGGTGAATTGGAGAATGGCTACTTGAAGGTCAGCTGGGGAAGGTTAGAAGAAGCAGCCAGTTAGAAAGGGAATGCATGAAGCCAGCTGTTAGCAGTTCAGAGAGCAAGCCTGGTGTTAAGGTGTAAGGTGAGCCTGTGAAGGAAGAAAACTTTTTTTTTTCTTCTTTTTTTTTTCTCTTCCCCAGGCAGTGGCTTAAGTTACCCTTGAAATAAAGCCCAACTGCTACTCTCCTGGGAAAAGTACTGTGTGTCAACTGAACCAGCCTTGCTACTTAGCCCACTGACATGTTCAACATTGGCTTTAAATTCCTGACATGTTTGACAACTTTTAAAGTCTCAGGCTTTTATACCATCTGATCTGGCTGTATAATACAGACTCTGGAAATGCACAAAGTTTCTGAGACAAATTGTTCAATTAAAGCCTACTTTCTTAATTTACAAAACCACTAAATATAAAATTGGCAGGGAGGGGCTGCCCAGTTCAGCCTGTTTTACAGAGCTAAAATATAAGCCTTTTGATTTTAATCCCTCCCTTTTTTTTAATTGAACTTCACTGTGAGTTGGAGCACTTCAAAGAACTATAGAAGGTTACAACATAGATCATGTGGCAGCTTACTATTGGCGGAAAGGCTAGGCAGAAATTGAATATTAACATTTTGCCATAACTTTGTGATTTTTGTTGGCAGTTCTCAAATCAGACAGCGAGTCTGGATGCAAACCAGCAGTTGCAGATGGTGCTGGAGGAGAAGGCAAGCCTGGAAACCCAGGTTGCTCAGGTAAGAGGTTGTATGAAATACAATCCAAATCTTGACATCTGTAAAGAAACTTGTGTGGTGGCAGAATGCAGCCTGAGCTTTTCATTAACACTGGTTTCTTCAAGCTTTATCCCTTAAGCAGTCACTGTCGAATTTATTTAGCCAATATGATTTTCTTTGTGTTTTATTTTGCACAGCTCTCAGAGTCCCTTCACCAGCTCCAGGCAGAACGAGATCAGTATGTAGAGAAACTGAAGGAGGAGCGGAGCATTTGGCAGCAGCGGGTACAGCAGCTCTCTGAGCAGGTAACATCAGGGTTATCTGAGCAGGTATCCCAGCTGCTTTTGACAAACACAGGCAGGAGTAAATGCACCATGAACATTGTTTTAACTTTCACTTGTGTGGCCTTGCAGGTCCACACAATGGCAGAGGAGAGGGAGAAGCGTATGGCCCAAATTCAGGAGCTGGAAGCCAATGTTGCAGAGCTGTTGAACAAATCAGGTAGGGATTCCAAAGCGGGGCTTCGCGTGGCAGAGTACCAGCTGTGCAGGAATTTCTGCACCTGAGCTGCAAGTAGGTGTGATGCTCTGAATTGGTGAAGGCAGCTGAAAGCCTGGTGACCCTAAGAAACCTTTTATCCTTGCAAACAGCAAGTGAACTATTTCAACTAATTGACCACCAGACTGTTTATGCCTTTAGTATCTGCCTGACTGTGCCATTGACCTCTCTGGCCCAGGAGATTGGGAAGACAGGATGCTTTTGGTAGGACTGTGAGGCAGTTAGCAGCACATGGCAAGGTGCTGTGCTTAGTTTTGGGATAGTTTTTCTCCTTTGTTCCTCTCAGTGGCCTGCAGTGAGGATTGGCTACTGTAGCCGGTGATACCTCTGGGTCACAGAGCCCTAAAAGTTGGGGTATGCTTTGTGCATGTAATAGTGATGTGTATTACACAGCGATTTAGCCCTTTGACGGAGCTGCTTCTGATTCCATTTCCTCAGCAGTTAAGCCCATGGATATTGAGCCTTCCTCACCAGCAGAGCCCACAGCAGCTGAGCTGAGCCTGCAGGAAGAGATCCAGCGGCTGCAGCAAGAGAAGGAGGAACTGCATGGGCAGTACCAGGCCCAGGTCCGGGACAACGAGCAGCTGAGCCACCTCAACCGGGAGCAGGAGGAGCGGCTGCTGGAGCTTGAGAAGGCTGTGCAGCGCTACAACGAGGAGTCTCTGGACAGACAGCAGATCCTGGAGGACATGCAGAGCGACAAGGCCACAATCAGCAGGGCACTGAGCCAAAATCGGGAGCTGAAGGAGCAGCTGGCTGAGCTGCAGAATGGGTTTGTCAAACTGGTATGTCTCTTTCGTGCATCTTTTCCTACTGCTTCCCTCACTGGTGCAATCCTTTTGTAGCACAGATGTACAAAACTGACAGAAGCATTATCTGGCTCTTGTCCTCTGAGGCTATGGATGCTCCGTCTTCTGTGAAATACTGCCCTGCCAGGAGGTTCCCTGTAATTCCTTACTCGCTCAGGTGCTCTGGCAGATGAACCAATGTCTTTGTCCAGAACAGTTTCCTTTTCCTTCTCATCCCCTGGCAGTCAGGCTGTTTCTTTCCCCGAGTATTCCTCCTGCCCTTTTAACCTTGAAGGTACCCGTTTTCTGTTCTCTGTATTTGCCCATGAGGAAGAAGTTCTCAGCAGTCTTCTCTCCTGCTGCTGTGACTCATACCCATCCTGGAGCTCAATCCTTACTCTTGCATGCTTCTTCCAATGTTACAGCTTCCCCTTTGGGGCCCTGGCAGACTGACACATGGTCTAGCCACTGATTTTTCTTTAGTCCTTTCTGAACTCCTTGTTTTTGAGTATCTGTGGCTCTGTTTGGGATATTCATACCACCCATCTGCTTCGGAGCTGACAGGCTGTGTGATGTGCCAGGCCTCCTCTTGGCACTGTCCCAGCACTTATTCCCCTGACTCTTTCCTTGCTCTTCTTCCATCTTCTGAACCTTTGTAAGTTATTTACTGCCCTGAACAGTCAATTTATGGCCCTTAGTTATACCCCACAGTAACACAAGGGATGGCACCCTGTTGTGTCAGGAATGAACATGGTTTATCGAGAGTATACCTTTATGTTGGTTGGGGCAGTCTCCTTATAGCGTGGCATTTGTCTTGCAGACAAATGAAAACATGGAGGTTACAAGTGCGCTACAGTCAGAGCAACATGTAAAGAAGGAGCTGGCCAAGAAGCTTGGGCAGCTGCAGGAGAACCTGGGGGAGCTCAAAGAGACGGTAAGCAACAGCCGGTGGGATGGCAGGGCAGGTACATAGCGGTTTATGCAAACCGCTGGCAACATTCCAAACTTTGATGGAAGGATGGAAATTGATATTGTAATGATCAAGCTGGGAGCCTTCCCCCATTGTCTGCTGTCTGCTGTGGGGGATCAGCATGTGGGGGCAGATGGTGGCTGCCTGCCTAGTTGGTGGCTTTGGGGCAGTGTTGACAGTTTGGATCATGTCACACGGATCAGCTCTTCTGGCAGAAATGGTTTGATGTGATGGTTTGATCTTGTTATGTTAGCTGGAACTGAAAACACAGGAGGCTCGGGGTCTGCAGGAGCAGCGGGACCAGTACTACAGCCACTTGCAGCAGTACACTGTGGCGTACCAGCAGCTGTCTGCTGACAAGGAGGAACTGCACAAACAGTACTTGCTTCAGACACAGCTTATGGATCGGCTACAGCACGAGGAGGTTCAAGGGAAGGTGACAGTGGAAATGCACCTGAAAGAGCTGCAGCAGACCAAGGTAACAGTGAAAAGGGGCAAGTGGAAACACAGGAGGAAAAGTGCTCAATGTAGTTAAGTATTAATAAAGCAAAAGGTTGGATCAGATGATCTTTTGCAGTCCCTTCCAACCTGGGCTGTTCTGTGATTATCATTCACCTGTATTGCACAGGATGTGCTTGTCTGGAGGAGAAGCACTGTGTTTTTTTGTGTGTGTGGTGCTACTACCTCAAGATGCAGTGGCTGCAGTCCGGCTTGTGCAAGTTTCGGTGATCTTCTGGTTCTCTCTTGCAGGAAAATCTGGAAGCTGTAGCTAAGGAAAACAAAGAGCTGCAGGCCCAGATCAGTCAGTTAGCAGCAGACCTGGATGGCAGGATTTTGCACCGACTAGAGGGTGAGTAGCTGCAGCTGGTCTCCAGGGAGGAGGTAGAGCTGGGCTCTCAGGGGTATTACCTCCTTGTTCACCTTCCTCCTTTTACAGGAGATGGAGTTGAAAGTGAAGCAATGACCAAAGAAAGTCAAAAATCTTCGTTTGTGATCCCAGAGAAGTTTGAAAACCATGAAGAAATGGTGAGTCTTAAAGAGTAGAAAAGCCTTTGGTTTTAGTTCTAAACAAATATTTAAAAAAGGAGGTAGGTTAAATTGCAGAGAGGTGCATGGAGTAGGCTGTTTATCAGCTATGATCCCTACCAGCTGAGGTGCAGTAATGAGGGAAGTGTAACAGTTCCTTGTGCTTAGCAGCAAAAAACCACGATTTCTGCAGCATCCTTGCAAGACAGGCTGGAAGTCTGGCAGTGGCTTTATGAAGACAACTCAGCAGTCCAGAATAGCTCTCTTAATTATAATGATGTTCTCTTTAGTTTGGAAGGCAATTTGGAAATGGTGTTGGATATCTACTAGATTTTTCTGTAAGTACAGTCATAATTGGAAAATACTGCAAGTAAACAGCTATCATGGGAGCTAGTATTTAACCTGCATATCTGTACTACTTGGGAACGAGAAAACATGCAGTAGTTGCTGCCTGGTTTAGTTCCAGGGCACTCACTTAGTACTTTGGTTTCATACCCATAAATAAAATGGGGTGAACTGTTACTCTGTTTGTCCTGAGATGCACCACTGATCACGCTTCACACAGGAGAAGCACTAATGTGCACACTCTGGAATTCTTCTTAGGTCGCTTTCTTGACATCTGCCATGTCCCAAGTGGAGAAGGAGCGAGAAGACATGAGGCAGCAGCTGGCTGCTCAGAAACAGCACTGCAGGAGCCTCCTGCAGCAAATGGCAGCGCTCCGGCAGGAGCACCAACATAACGTCATGCTGGGTGGAGGTAAAAATCTGGTGCAGTTTGGGGACTGGGTGAATACGGAGGCATGCCTTGGCCAGCAGCACTGGCCTCTCCAAAAGGTTTTGTGAGTGCATCATGTCCAAGGAGGAACTGTAAATTACACGTCCCTTCCAGGTTCCACTGTGGATACTGTTCCAGTGGAGGTTCACGAGGCTTTGAAAACTGCCATGGAGAAACTACAGGTAAGCAAAGGATCTCATCGTCTTTCAGTCCTGCTGCGCTGCTCAGCTGGACTTCGATCCAGCGTCAGACTCTTACAGCACACACAGACAAACTGCAGGGGAATAAGTAGCAGATGTTCCATAATAATAAGCTACTTCCTGAAAAGCTTATCACTGCTTCTCACAGCACAGGAAAGCTTGCAGCAGTAACTCCCCTCCCACCCCCCAGCCCCAAAGACTGTGAGTATAAAGGCCTAACACTGACCTGTGGTCTTGTTCTAAAGAAACAGCTGACAAACAGACTGGGTGTCTTCACCCTGCTGGGATGAAGCAGGTGGTCTGTAGTCTTGGAGCAGAGTATGGTCAGAGCTCTGCCGTCCCAGCAATGAGAAGGTTCAAAGGCAGTTTGTCTCACCAGCCCTTCTGCTTTCCAAAACGCAGAGATGCTTTTACACCTTCTCTAGCTCTCTCCTCTCTGTTCCTTTTTAGCATCAGGTGGGAGACAAGTTGTAAAGGCAGCAACATTTGTCTCCTAGCCTCAGACCAATGTGAATGGAGGGTGTTGTCTTTAACATGGGTATTCTTTGTATGTGAGCAGTTCAGATGACTGATAACAATTTTTGTGTTCAGTCCCGTTTCACAGACCTGATGCATGAGAAAGCTGATCTGAAGGAAAGGTTAGAAGAGTTAGAACATCGCTGCATACAGCTGTCTGGGGAAACGGACACCATTGGTATGTTTAGGCAACACTTGCACATGCTAAAGCTTGCTGAATGCATTATTTGTTTGGGGAATAGAAGGTCCCTGACAGCTTTTGGACCTGGAGCCCTCCACCTACCAAGCACTTCGTGTCTCCTACTGCTGCCCAACTAGGCTAGATCTCCAGTGCAGGGTTGGATTTGCTGCCACATAGTTCTGTGCTCACCGTAAGGCCTGTACCCCCATCTTGCCAACACTTACTCCTTACACTTCTCTCGTATTCCAGGGGAGTATATTGCATTATACCAGAGTCAAAGGGCTATCCTCAAACAGCGGCACCAGGAGAAAGAGGAGTACATCAGCAGACTGGCTCAGGATAAGGAAGAGATGAAGGCAAGGAATCTTTTCTGTAGTACTACTCCTCCAAGCAGTGCTGGCCTGGGGAGCGCCTGCACAGTCCAAACCTTCACATGTTGTTCCTCCGCTAGCTTTAGCATTGAAGTTGCTAATTTTGTGACAGAGGTGAGACTGCAAACTGTAGTGCAGAGTTTGTGTGCATGTTTCATAGTCTTTCCTTTACTTTGGTGCAGATGAAACTACTGGAACTGCAGGACCTCGTGATGCGTCTGGTCAGGGAAAGAAATGAATGGTACAGCAAGTATGTAGCAGCTGCTCAAAACCCAGAGCTGTTAGCAAGCCCAAATGAAAGTGTACTTCCAGCCGAGAGGCGCATTGAGCTGAACGCTACTGATGGAGAAGGTAAGCTGCAGCCAGGACAGGGACTAACCCGAGGTCTGGGTCGTGCATGGATGGGGAAGAGTTACCTGCCTGCCTTGTCTGTGTTCCTTGCAGGGTTACGAGAAGTGAATTTATCAGATGAAGCAGAACAAGAGGCTGCTGTTCTTCATCAATCTGGTTTCTCTCCTGTTGACAGTAAAGCTGCTCAGCCAAGCCAAGAGGACCCCACAGCCAAGCAAATAATGCAGCTTCTCAGAGAAATCCAGAACCCTCAGGAGAGGCTGGGCTCCCTGCTGGAAAATCCCTGCATTCCCTTCTTCTACCGTGCTGATGAGAACGATGAGGTCAAAATCATGGTAGTTTAAGTGGCACTAAATCTTATTTACAGTAATTTTCTATGAGCCTGAGAAGACTTAACTGACTTGAACGTGCCCTTGGTCAGAACAGATTCTTTAAAGACATCGGTAAAGAGGGATTTCATCAGATGGAACTTGAGCATCAGACCTCATCTTCCCTTTCTCTTTCTTCTGTTACTTGGTGTGCTCAGAGTACAGGCAGACTTAAACTAATCCTGGGCAGCAGCTGGTGCTGGCATTTCACCTTCCAGGGCTCTCAAACTAACTTATTCTGGTAATGGACTCTCTGACCTCTGAACAGGTTGTTTTTGTTTCATACATAATATCTTAAACTTCCTCCTTTCTTCTGCAGCCTGCCTCTTGCAACTGTATCTGAAACTGGCCTTGGCATCTTGAACAGCCAAAGGATACAGGCTCGGGGAGAGCGGGGCAGCACTACAGCCAGCTGTAACCTTATGGCTAGGGGAAGGGACCGAGGGCTGCCTTCTGAGTCTCTGGTTACTTGACAAAGCTTTATGTGATTCTTGGGAGTGGGGTGGAAATGTAACTGCACTTTGAAGGACGATGCGTTTCACCTGTATGTGTCTGAAGGTTTTATTTATTTTAAAAAATGGGAGAAATAAGTAAAAGGAAACCACTTAATAAACATGCTTTGTTTTGAATTTCTGGACTCTAGGGGTTCTAGTTCTCCACCACTTAAGTTTCTTCTTCTCCCAGTTTGGTAAGGAGTGCAGTTGATGCACAGGACCCAAGAGCCTCTGCCCCCTAAGCTCCTGGCTCTCAGCAACAGAGGTGTCACCTGGCACTGCCCTGAAGCCAGACCCTAATGCTGAGGAGAAAACAAACCATGCTGGGAGGAGAGCGTGCCCTGAAGCAGCAGCAGAGCAGAGCCCTTGGCTGTACAAGCACTGAAGTGAACTGCAGGTGGATATCCTGCAACTAAATCTGCCTTTCGGGCAAGAACTGCCCTTGCCAGGAGGGTTAGTGTCAGCAAGGGAGTTACAAGGAAAACCACAGGGTCAGTCTAAGGGACCCGACAGTCACAGCTGTGCTGCACTCTGACCAGAGGAGCCCAGGCAGGCACTGCCTCCCTGGTCAGCGGTCAAGAGGGGAGATGGAAGCACAGGAATGCAATAGCAGTTTTGGGCTTTGTCCACAACAAAAAGAGAGACGGTTCATTTCTTCTGTGTCCAAGTGGTCAAGCTTTACCAGGCTGCTGTAAAGAGTGCCAGAAGAAGGTGAAGTATGGGTTGGTTTTTTTCTAAAATGGTTCATCTTGATATTTCCTTGTACAACTGAAAAAATCGTACACAGAACAATTAGTGCTTTCCTGTGAATGCATCAGGGGAAGCTGGAAGCTGGTGTTTGAACTCCTTTCATTCGAATGGCACCAGTGGGGGCAGTTCCTGGCACAGCACCAGTGCCGGGGGCTCCCAGGCTCCTGCCTGCAGGGGTGTGTACTGAGTGGAGCTGTGTAAAATGCTGTGTATTCCCTGAAGAGAGACTAAGCCTTTTGCAGTGTTCATGCCTGCTTGAGCTATTCATAAATCTGTATCGGAACTAATGGGAGCAAGGCTGTGATTTAATACGGAGCATTACTATAAATGGGATAATTATTTATTGGGTGTTCTACTCTGATACTGTGAAGGAGACAAGACCAGTGAAGAAGGTCGGCAGGCTGGTGCAGAGGTGACTTAATCCTGTTACAAATTTGCTTTCTGAATAAACTTATTCAGATGGGCACTGACTAGATGTGTTTCTTCTGCAGAGAGCACCTTGAAATTGGGCCAGAAAAAAGAATGAATTCTTTATTAAAAACACCTGCCCTGGCCTCAATGCCCTATTTCACTTAGCTTTCATCAATGTTTTCCTGTAGACAGACTGCTAACAAGCCTGAGACATCTCTTGGCTCAGGTTTCACATCCAGGCCCTAGCTTCAGATTCATTTTTAATCCTGTTCCCTTTAGGAGTGTTTTCCTTACCCACTTTTAGAGTGAACTTTTACAGTGAACTAAGAGCAGGAACTACTGCTCTACCCAGTACCTTTAAATGGGAGCAAGTAAACTGTCTCTACCCTTCTTGATTTGAAAAAAAGTAGAGAAATGCTTCTCAAAGGCCATAAGCACCAAATAACAGGAAAGCTGTTACACTGGCAAGAGAACACTGTGTGACAAGGCTGTAGATCAGGCAGGAGTTGATCATGTCTGGGCATTCTCATTGGAAGGCACTTTTGACAGCCAACCAACAGAGGTTTCTTCTTTTGCAAAGTAAGACACTCATATTTACTTGAAAAAATACATAGTTTTGCCTTCAAAAATACAGTATTCTTTAAGAACAACCCTATGTATAGCACCAGGGAGAGATGGAACAGTTGCAGCGAGGAAAAAAATAGGGTAGGGCAAGCAATGGTTATTGCCTCAGTTGTGTAGAAGCTGCAGTTACAACACAAAACCATGCAGAGAGAGCTAGAACACACAGAGGAAGGAATCATGAGAGATCTAGTCTGTTCACTCAACCCACACCAGTGTCTATGAATAAAATCTTCAAGGAGATTTTTAGCTTATTAAAGTGTTACGAGGGCAATGCCCTGAGTAGCACAGGCAGCTGTAGCCGAGTGCGCTCAGGGCTAAGTCAGAAATCAGTATTACACTGATTTAGGTCAGCACCCCCCGTGCTCCTGGTCTCTCCTGCAAAAGCAGTGCTGCAGCCCCACTACACAGAGGCTTCACGAATCTGTTGCAGTCACTGGGATGACAGTGCTAAATTCAGGAATTATGGAGAAACATGGCTGTCACCGTGAGAAACGGCAACCATGATCTGAGACTGCAGCACTTGCTGTTTTGGCATAGAGGCAGCAGGAACAGGCTTCCCGAGTTTATTCCAGGGGAAAAATCCCAGTTCAGCCTAAAAGCAACTTCCAAGTAGGAGCTGGCCATGTGTGTTAGACTGCACTTCAGATACGGGCCCAACAAACACCACTTGACAGAGAAACTACAACTCAACACCCGCTTGCTGTCTTCCACAAATAACCCAGGCAAAAATATCTTGTTAAGAACCACACAATTTTGTGTGCAAAACTCCCACCTTCTGCATGTCCAGTCACTGAAGCACCTCCATGCATTTTCCTTTACAACGGAGAAAGGGAGTTACCTTCCACATCTGACAAGCTGTTTCACTCTACTGCAGCTCCTGGACACCACTGCTGCTGCAGATCTGTTCCACCTCCCCTATTAGTGATAGCACCTGCTCGCATGTATAGCTTTTTAAGTTCTAGGGGATGAAAAGATGAGGTTATAATTAAACACAGTTTGAAAATCACCCAGAGAAAGAGCAAGAGAAAGAGATGGTTTTATTCTAGTCATGGAGACCTTCATTATACAGAAATGATAGTTTATTTCATCCAATAAACAAGAGTGACAGGTAGATCACAAACTGCATCACAGCTACTACCAGCACTGAGACGGTTCACCCACAAGGCTGGGGTAATACAATAACCCAACTGCACACAGCAGAGAATTTAACAATCAGCTCAAAAACTCAACATTGGGATTTGGTTAACTTTTTGGATGTGTGTGTATGTATATATATGTATATAGATATTCTTTCCCTACTTAAGTATTTCCTAAAATCCACATGGAAGCACAAATGGCTTTAAACACCTGGACATATATAGATTCTTCATCTTATATATATATATTTATAGATATTTATAACAGTAAAGATATGTTTCTCATTACTACAATATACTTGTTGTTTAACTCCTTTAAGCAGCTGGGAAGAAAAAAAAAACAAACAGTTTCACTACAATCACATCCGATATGTGTGTGTCACAAAATACAAACAAAACAAGCCATGTGTGAGATTCGAGTCAGACCATTCCAGGACAGAACAGCTAAGAGGCAGGCAAAGAGTCTCAGAGGGAGCAGGCCTACATGTCAAATGGTGGTTTTGGGCTCTCCGGGCGGGAGGGACTGGCCTTACCCGGCCGGCTGGAGTTTAAAGACAAGAAAAACAAAGAAAAAAGGAAAAGGGGAAGGGAAGGAAAAGAGGAAGAAGTAGTAAAACAATAGTTAAAATGCAGAAAGGAACTGGCATCAGAACAATAGAGGATCCACAACAGAAATAAAGATCAATAGCACTGAAATAAGAAAACTTAAATATGAATCAGGCCTGGCTGAAAGCCTGCAACACAGGTGGCTCATTTAGCTCTGGCAGAGACATGACATCTGAGATGTACAGGGTTGATATATTTTTAATTCTCAAGTATATATTTTTTTTTTTAATACATGAAAAGTAAAAACCAAACCTTAAGGAGATGAATTGAGATCAACAATGGTTACAAGTTTCCCCAAACACGTACCATCCACATGCAAGAAGAAAAGGCTACGGAAGAAGTCACCACAGTACCCAAAAACCACTGAAAGATGTGCTTATTCAAAGCAGAAATATTTTCAACAAAACATTACACAGCGAACTCCCTGAAAACATTTGGTTGTCCGTTTGCAAGGGGGGAGCAGCATATCTATTCCCCTCTCCCTGCCGGGTTCAGGAAAGTCAGCCAAAAATGATGATGCAAGACAACTGCTGGCAGGAGCCAGTGTGTCACCAGCAGGATTTCCCCAGCTCTTCTGGGGAGCTGCGTGCGAGCAGGTCCGTGTGCTCCCTGCACGCTGAGGTGTGTGCGCTATCTCAGGCTTCACTCTAGCAGGACTATGCCGATCCACTGAGTTCCCCCCTTTCTTGATCTCCCTGCCTGACTTTGATAGAAGGTTGATTGCACTGTTCCCAACATGAATTTTTGCACCTTAGAAGTCAAACTAATACACAGGACATTTAATCTGTTCCTAACAGTGTCACATGTTTTGACAGTATTTTTCTTTTAAGTCACGCTTTCGTCTTCTTAACTACAAGGAAAGAAAATAGCTACAGATCAGTCCTAGGTGCTACAGCTAACTGATGCAGGCAGGACACTTATCCAGGCTAGACCAGGCAGATGAAATTCCTGGACGGACAGCCACCACTTGGACTTAAGGATGTCCCTGCGGCTGCTCTCTCCAAGGAGCCTGTGTACTTCAGGGATCCACGCCACTGAATGAAGGCTACTCTACGCTCACAAAGCAATACAGGACGCACGAGTGAAGACGAAGAGCTCGATCACTAGGCTAGTGTTTTACGACACACCGGGAAGGGGTGGGTGGTGGGAGGCAGAGATGTGGGATGGATGAGAGGAGTGACTGTGGCTGTGGAAGGGAGGGTGGAATGGGGAAGCCGCCAGCACGGCATTCGTCGCCAGCTGTCTACAGCCTCGAGTTATAAATCTAAGAGGGACGGTTCAGCCGGTCGGATTATGGTAGGTCGAGTAGGTGAGGCGGGGCCCCTTCTGCTGTGAAAAAGCAGAAAACAAAAACAAGAGAACACACACTGTGGTTAGCACAGCAGTCGCAGTCACGATCACACATGCTTCTCCACCTCGCCTGAGCCAGCAAGAAAATAAAACCTGAGGCACAACTACCAATATGCAACTCCACGGAGACTTACAGGTTTCTATCAGGCCTTGTACTGGCCTTTCTGCACAGCATGGATCGCCAGTAAAGCAATCCACTGGACAGTTCCTTTTGCTTTCTCTCTGAAATTTGGAAGTGCAGAGATTTAGTGCACTGGC